CAGCAGCAGCAGGCGCCCGCCGCCCGCCGCCGCGCACGGCCCGGGGCGCGCCGCCAGCTCGCGGCACCGGTAGCGCTGCAGCTGCGGGAAGCTGGCCTCCAGCGCGCCGCGGTCCAGGCGGAAGGTGCGGCCGCCGGCGCGCAGCGTGGCCACGGCCGGGACCGGGTTGCCCTGCCACCCCGTCCCTTCTGCGTGTAGCCGGCTCTGAGGTCGCCCGCCCTCCCGACAGCGCTTCCGCCCAGGGGCCCGGGGGGGGGGGGAGCCTTCTTGCCCCCACTCGTCCTGCCAAAGGCTGCCCGAGCAGAGCCGGGAGAACCGTGGCCGGGCACCATCTCGGGGGGCTGCCCCGCTGGCGCTGCGCTTCCGCCCTCTTTCCGTGGGGCCAGCCCCACCGCAGCCCTGGGTCGGCACGTGAAGGGCTTGTGGCCCTCTCCCCAAGGCAGCTGCGATGCCGGCGAGCCGGGGGTCAGGACCGTGGCAACTGTGGGGGGCAGCCGGTGTCCGCCGGGCGTGCGGCCCCGGCTGCCCGGGGCTGAGTGCATGGCCTGGCCGGGGGGATGGCAAGTGAAGGGCGCTGCTCCTCCCCGCAGGAGCCGGGCCCCCTTCCACGGAGTGAGCCCAGGTGCCCGGCCACGGGCCGAAGCCGGAGAGCCACGTCCAGTCCCAAGGACAAAGCTGAGCTTACCTGCAAACGAGGAGAAGCCCCGAGAAAGAAGCAAGCGCTCGTCTCTTCTGTGGCCTGTCCTGCGTTTTAGGAAGCACAGAGGTGGTGGGCGGTGGGCCGGCCTTCGGGGGGGCTGCCCGGGCTCCAGGCCGTGGTGCTGCTTCGGCGGCCGAATTTGCCTGGGCGCACCTGCTCTGCGGGCGGCGGGGCAGAGGCCTGGGTGGCACCCTCCCCACCCTGCCGGGGCAGGCTCTTTGCGGACGGGGCTGGCCACCGTGGAGGGGGCGGGGATGGCTGCCGCGGAGGGCCCCCCCGGCCTCCAGGAGGGCTGTGCTCTACCCTGTGAGGAGCCTTTGGTGGTGCTGCTCGGGTAGATAACAGCACCGTAATGTGCTTCTGGAGCGGTTCCAAGTGATCACACCAACAAGGCAGCCTTTCTGGGGCGGGCGGGCAGGCGGGCGGGCGGCCACTCCCTTGCCCGAGATGCTCCCGAGTGACTCGCAGGAGTTCGTTGCCCGGAGGGTGCGGAAGGGCTGCCTGAGGGTCGAGGAGACGGCAAGGAGGCTGCCACGGACGGGGCGTGTGAGGAAGAGGGGGGTGGGGGCATGGCAGGCCAGGGCCGCCGCTGGAACTTCCTGATGGGAAGCGGTCCAGTCCCTTGGCCTGCCCAGCTCAGACCGGTCCTCCCACACTGCCCTCGGCCCCACCTGTGGTGCCGGGAGCTGGGCGAGGACCCCGGGCTCTGCCGCAGAGCCCCAGCCCCTCCTTCCTTCACGCAGGGAGTGCCCCGCCAGGGAGGGGCCGTGGGGTGGGGTGTGGGCGCTGTCCCCCCGGACAGCCTGCTGAGCAGGCCCCCCCCACACACACACACATCGGAGGAACGGCTCCCAGCCCCTGGCAGCCTCTTGCCCTGCGGAGGCGGCTCAGGAGGCGCAGCCCGGCCCTGGGGCCGGGGGCGAGGCCGGGGGCTGAGCGCAGAGCCTGCCGAAGCCCCCAAGCTCTGGGCTTCTTCTCCCGCAGGGGCGGGCCCCTCAGATGTGGGTGCCGGGGGCCTGCCCCTCTCGGCGGGGTGCTGGGGCACGCGGGCCGCCTGCCTCCTGGCCCCTCTCCACCAAGCGGGGCAGCAGCAGATGTGTCTGCCTGAGAGGGAGCGTTTCCTGCAGGCTTTCTAAGGCAAAGGCGGGCGAAAGGCCCGTTGCCACTGCGTGTTTCCCCTGAGGGCCGGGACCCCTTCACTCCCCTCCCGCTCGCTCCCCCCATGTGTGCTGCCCCCCTTCCCCGGCGCCTGCTTGCGGCCCTGCCGCCCCCCTTCGAAGCTCTGCGGACGAAGCTTTGGGGGAGGCTGCGGGGCCGAGCGGGGCTGCTCGCGTCCGCCCAGCGGAGGGAGCCGTGCTGTGGGCCCCGTGGCACTTGGGTGGGGGCTGCCGCGGGCTGTTCCCGGCCCTGTTTAATTTGTGTGCAGCGCTCATAAAGCCTGGGCCGTGAGCGGCAGGCAGCCCAGGTGGGAATGCCTGGAGCAAGGCAGAGGCCAGGGCGTTTCTGTGCAGAGCCGCCGTGTTCTGCTCTCACGCCTGAAGCAGGTCTGGTTGCTTGGCTCAGACCCCAGGGTGGGCGGAAGGGGCGGGGGATGGCCTGGGATGGGCCCCCGCCAGGGACGGGGCCTTTTTGGCAGTGGCCTTGCCTGGTGGCGCACCCTTGCCAGCGGCTTTCCTGGGCTCTGCTGCAGAACTGCTTATCTGCCCAAGTGCTTAGCACCTTCATTTAATTGCTTTCCACTCCTGTATCATGACACTGTTGACTCGTCAGATTACTGCTAATTCTTATTGCCGTTTCGTGCGGTAGTTCAAAATGCACTCGTGCGCCATCGGGCTTTGTCATTCTGGCAGAAGCCGAGTTGCTGCTGCTGCTGCCATAAATGTTATGCATGTTTCTGTGGAAGCATGCCCTCTTGCATGCGCGGGCAGCAGCGCATCGGTTATTAAACAACATCGACCCCTTCCCCGGAAGGAAAGCGTGGACCCTGGATGGAGCTGGGAGATGCCTCTTGATGCCACTCAATCTTCTTTCAGATTCAAAATGCCCAAGGGGGTGGAAGTACCACCACACTCAAGGTCTTTTGCATGTCAGGTGGAGAATTAACTTTAACCCCTTATCTAACGCACCAAGCACAGCTGCAGCGAACAGCACAACCCAGCTTCATGACGCAACCGCGCGGTGCTGGCACAATGCTTCGGTGTCTTTGGAGGGGACACCCGATTTGGGCATTTGTAAGCATTTCAAAACAGGAAGCCCCAAGCAACTGTACTTCGTGATGCAATCGGTGGCCACAGAACCCATGGAACAGCTTCCCGCTTCTTAGCTTCTTAGCGCTGGCAGTAAAGGGGGGGACCAAACCCCAGGAGGCGTTTGCTTCCACAGAGCAAAGCCCAGCTCAGCCGGGGAGGTGAGCCCAGCAGAGGTGTCCCCGAGCGGAGCGTGGCCTCCTGGCTGAGCGGGCCAACATGAGCACCCTTGGGGCCAGTGAGGGAACTCGCAGAAACGAGGCCGATGCATGTGAGGGTTATATTTGCACAACACGGGAGGAAGGAGGAAATCCCAGGGGAAGTTTGAAGAAGGTCCCGGATCGTGCAGAAATGGGTAGGCTGACTTTGTCTCTCAAGGAGAAAGAAGATATATGCTGCTACCAAACTTGAGACTAATTTTACCAAAGGCTGGAGAAGCAGGGTTGCACTTGGGGCCGAAATATACAGCGACTGTGGAGAATAAGAAAACCCAGTAGGCCCAATGTCTTTTGAACGATGACTTGTGTTATTTGTAGAAAAGCAATAAAAATGTTTAAAAAAGAAACAAACGAGGCTGATCCACGTGTAATGCTAAGCCGTGGCGTGTTTTTGACATCCATCCTGACTAACAAGCGACAGGTTGCTCAAGGGCCGCCTGCCACCACGGAAGCCGGATTGTGGAGCCGGACTCGAGGAGAGTGTGGCTCAGAGCAGCGCTGGCCACGCTTTTTGCTTCTCAGGGCCACGCTGGAAGAAGAAAAATGGTCTTGGGCCACACATTAAATACACAAACACTAACAGACGCTGATCAGCAAAATAATAATAATTTTCATGATATCTGCCACCACATATAAGCAAAAAAGTCCTCACATCATAACCCTAATTATGCAGCAGCCCGTTTGTCAAGCAGGAAAGAGGGCAACGTGAAACTAGCGGGATATTTGACCTTGCGTCCATATCTGGTTCAGTGGAAGCACTTGCAATTCCCAGAGAGTTCCCAAGGTGTTCATCAGATACCCTGGCTCTAATCTTGCTCTTGGTGGGCTTCATTCTTGTAAATAGTTGCTCACAGATGTGGGTGCGGCCAAAAGGCGAAGGCTTGAAGAAGGCGTGATTGTGAAGCGAGGGGCGCTTGTCTCTGGGACGATGGGACCCATAAAAGCCCATGAGCAGGTTTTTCTTTAAGCTGCATGTCAGGCGTCAGCTCTGTGCATCCCATTTGAAAACTGGCAGGCAACTCATTTATGTCGACTGAAAGTGGAGTCACAAGTATACCAAAATAGTGCTTGTTTCCCCAGAAATCTTGAAATCTGTTTTCAAATTCTTGTATCAAATCGAAAAGCAAGGCTGCATATGTTTCGCTGTCCACAGGACTGTTTAACCAACGAGTCGAAATGTATAAAATTGTTTGCGACAGCAGGTTGAAAGATGATTGAAAATAGCTGCGTTTCGCTTGCCAAGTCACCACGAGCAGGTGCAGCGTCTGATGGGGTCAATCTGACTGTCTGCGCTTGGAAGGTAATACACTGGAAGCCGCACAGCACCTTAAAATGGAACCCATGAATGTGTACAAAGTGCAAACACGTATGTATGCCTGTTATACGTGGCATTGCGACACGGCATGATGCTTGAGAACTGCGCAATGGAGTTATTTAAAAACTGCAAAAACCTCTCATGATGTTTTAAGCGTACGATTTTTTGCTGGGCTGCACTCATCGCCGACCCGGCGGTGGACACCCCGGCTTAGAGCAATGCCTAGGCGCCGGTCCGTGGCTTGCCCTCGCTGAACGATGGGACACGCCGAGTCCGAGTGGGCCTGGCGGCACGCGGCCACAGCACTCGCCGGGCAAAGCGGGGGGGGGGGACCTGCAAGGAACAGGGAAAACAGGTCCTGCCTCCCTCCCCTTTGACGGCCTCTTGACGGTGCAAGTAAACACACTGACGGGGTGACACCATCGGCGTCACGTACCCGCACCTGTCAGAGTTAGCGAACGGAGCAGAGAACGAGAAGATGCGCCCCTCGGGCCGTGGAGGGGCGCGGGCGGGGGGCTCGGAGCAGGGCCTCTGCACTGCGCAGTTACTCTTTCGCAGTTTGTCCTGCCCCATTAGCCTTCTCAGCGCGCGCACGGCTTGGCTTCCCTCCGCGTCTTCCGTCTGGCCACGGCAGGGGGGGAAATGCCGGGCTAGGTTCGCCCTGGGCTGACCCAGCAGCTGTTCTCAAGCTGCACCGGTCACCCTCGTCCCTCGTGCAGATCGTGGGTCCCACTTGCCGAAAGAGCGAGGATGCAGAATGCCCGGCTGATGTCAGCGCGGGGGACTCGTCACCTGCTGCTGGACTTGAGGCGGAAGCGAAGGCACCCGCACCTTCCCCCTGGGCAGTTGCACAATGGCTGCACTGTTCCCAAAGCCGAAGTGTGTTTCCGAGCATGCTTGGCGGACGGGTGGACAGAGTCCACAAACCTTGCCATCCATCAGATTAACAACGGAGCAGGATGGGCCGCAGGGAGTGGTGGGGTGGAACTGCAGTGCCGCGAATCTGGCGTGGCAGGAAAGAGACACTTTGGAAGTTTCGGCTCCCGTCCCACAAATATTGTGGCAGGCACCCTGCCGAGCTCTGTGCTCTTGCTCCGCGGCTCATTTGACACGCTGGAGCCATAGAAACTTAGAAACAGAGTCAGAAGGGTCCTCCCGGGCCATCTAGTCTGACCCCCGGCTCCAGCCAGCTCCACTCACGACATGCCCACCATGTGGACGTCCAGCCTATCCTTGAACACCCGCACCAATGCGGCCTCAGCGACCTCTTGTGGAAGCCCGTTCCACACCCTCGGGGTCCTGACTGTCAGGAAGTGCTTCCCGGCATCCCAGTTGAACCCTGGCTCCCTGAGCTTGGCTCCATGGGAGCAAGTCCTGCCTTCCTCTGCAGGGGAGAACAGGTCTCTATCCACCTTTGTGGGACACCCCCTCACATGCCTGTATGTCGCCAACAGATCCCCTTGGAGTCTCCCCTTCTCCAGGCTGAAGAGAGCCAGTTCCCTCAGTCTCGCCTCATTCCCCATCCCTGCAAACCGGCCACCAACCTTGTGGCCCTGCGCTGCACTGACTCCAACCTGGCTATATCCTTTCTGTAACGAGGGGCCCAAAAGTGAGCACAATACTCCACTTGTGGACGCACCAGAGTCATATAGAGTAGCAGCAACACCTCTCTCAATCTAGAAGCCACGCTTCTGGCTATGCGACCAAGGGTGGCGTTCGCCCTCTTGGCCGCCGCGTCACACGGCTGGCTCATGTTCAGCCTGCAGTCAACCAGCACCCCGAGGTCCCTTTCACAAGTGCTGCTCTCCAGCCACCTGTCCCCTAACCTGCACTTATGACACCTATGCCTATGCCCCAAGTGCAAGACCTTGCACTTATCCACACTGAATGCCATCCTGTTGTCTCCTGCCCTCTTCCATAGTCTCCAGATCCTTTTGGATCTGGAGTACCTGCTCCTCAGTTGTGGCCACTGCTCCAGTTTTACTGTCGTCTGCGAATTTGATCAGCAGACTGTTCACCCCTTCTTCCATGTCGTTAATGAAAAGCTTAAACAGGATTGGCCCCAGGACAAAGCCTGGGGGACCCCGCTTGTCACTGGCCACCATCCTGATGATTCCCCGCTAATGGTTACCCTCTGCTTTCAGTCAGTCAACCATGCCCTAATCCATCAGACAGTGGTTTGGTGTATCCCAAAACTCCTCACTTTCTCCACCAGGATATCATGGGGCACTTTGTCAAAGGCCTTGCTGGAATCCAGGTAAACCACATCCACTGCATCCCCTCCTTCTAGCCAGCTTGAAACCTTGTCGTAGAATTCCACAAGGTTTGTCTGGCAGGACCTGTTTTTGCGGAAGCTGTGTTGTGTGGCCGCCAGCCTCCCTTCCCTATCCAGCATCACTAGATCTCTCGCTGTTATGAGCCTTTCCATCGTTTTTCCTACAATGGACGTAACGCTAACAGGTCTGTAATTCCCCATGTCCCTTCTACTACCCTTTTTGAAAACTGGGACCACTGATGCCACCCTCCAGTCCTCTGGAACTTCACCCGTTCTCCACGAGGCCTCAAAAATGGAGGCCAGCGGGCGTGAGAGAACCCCTGCCAACTCTCTAAGCACTCTCGGGTGTAACCCGTCAGGGCCTGGTGCCTTTGTAATGCCCAATGCCCTGAGGAGCCCCTCGACTTCAAGGGGGTGACTCTAATCTGTGCCCCTAAGTCCCCAGCCTCATCTAATCCCCTATGCGGATATCCCCCGTCCTGCTTGGGGAAGAACACAGAGGCAAAACAGTCATTCAGCATCTGTGCCTGTTCCCTCATATCAGTCACTGGATCTCCTTCCTCCTTATTTAGTGGTCCCACCACTTGTCTCCCCTTCCTCTTCCTATTTACATGCTGAAAGAAGCCCTTTTTCTTGCTCTTGATATTCTTGGCAAGTCTCAGCTCGTAATCAGCCTTAGCCTTGCGAAGAATCCTTCTGCGATGGGCCTCCTCCTCCCGGTATACCCTTTTGTTCATTTGCCCCAGTACCCACTTCCTACGGAGGTTCCTCTTTCGTCTAACCCCTCTAACCACCTCCTTTCGCATCCATGGCGGCACTCTCCTCCGCCTCCCCACCTTACTGACTAGAGGTATCGTCAAGGCTTGTGCCTCCAAAACCTCCCTTTTGAGTGCCAGCCACCCCTCTGCAACTCGCTTGCCTTCCCGTAACCTATCCCAGGAGACTTTCCCCAGTCTGGCCCTCTGGAAGTCCCAGCTTCTAGTGTTCGACCTGCTGCCCGTCCGCAGGCCCCTGATCTCAAAGCGAAGAATGGAGTGATCACTTGCATCCAGAGCTCCCCTAATCTGTACCCCATCTATCAGCTCCTCCCTATTCGTCAAGACCAAGTCAAGGATGTTTCCCCCGCCTCATCACCTCTCGGACCCTCTGTGTGAAAAACCCTCCCTCTAAAGCTTCTCGGCAGTGACGTGACCTGGCTGTCACTGCCGAGTGAGTCTCCCAACTAATATACAGGAGACTGAAATCATAATCAGTCCATAATCACTCTGTCTCTCCCCCGAGATATCCTTAGAACCTGGCGTGTCAGGACATCATCCAGGGTCTCAAGTTGACCTAGAGGACGATAACATACCCCCACTGTCAGATCTCTTTCCCTGTCAAAACCCCCAAGTTTCACCCCATTCGATGCCTCTACCGAATCCCCATCGGTGCTGCGTTCTGTCTCAGTGCCACCAGCGAGGGTCCCAGGCCACGGGGCGCAGGCCGCACGAGTCACCCTGGCTCATCAGCCCCCATGGCTCATCGCGCTGTGTGAACCCAGCCACGGGTCAAGAGAAGGGGCTGCGGGAAAGTATGCCTTCCCGATGCCGAGCAGAGCAGCTCCTGGGGAGCCGTGAGCTGGAGGCCTTCGGCCCAAGCCCACCACGCCAACGAGCATGGGGCCCGGGCCGGCTCACCATCCCGGGCTGGCCGCTGGCCACGGCAGCGGAGTTCGAGGACAGCTGGCGCCCGTCCGGGGCGCTCTTTATGGATGCGTCTGCGGGGGTGTTCTTTATGGACAGACCAAGGAAGCCGCCTTCCGCCGCGCCAGGCCTTGATCCACCCGGCAGCGACGGCGCTGGGGCCCCTGGGGGGGCTTTTCTGTCCTGCCCAGGGGCACCAGGGCTGCGTGGGGTCCCTCCATCCACGCATGCAGCACGCTCTGTGCCGGGGAGCCGGGGCCCTCCAGCGCTCCCCCACGCGGCTGCCTGCCCCGGCCTCTTCGGGAGGGCCGAGGGCCTGGCGCTCCTTGCCGGCGCTGCCAGCTTGCAGCCCCCGTGGTTCCCGTATGCAGGCTCCGGTACCCTCCTGGGCGGCACTGCCGGAGCCCTCACTGCCCCTCACGGGGTGGATCCATCACAGCCCCGGGGCAAACTCCCTGGACAGACCCGGGCATGTGCCCCCGCCCGGTGATGGCCAAGCAACCCGATGCAGGCACGGCCGCTCCCAGCCCGGCGAGTCTGAACGGCTCTCGCAGCACGAGCCGCATCGGCGCAAGGAACGCCGGGCCAGTGGCAGCAGGTGCCCTGCCGTTTCGTAAGGGCTTGGGGCGAATCATGATGGGCAACAGATATTCGAGATTAGACTCGTGCTGGGTGCACCTATACCCCTCCCATGGCGGGCAGGCGGCTCCGGCACGCTTCCTTGCGTCAGGAGTCCCTTCCCGAGCCAACTGGAGTGACGTGCCAAAGGAATGCGGCCGGGCCGGGCCGCCGGGTGGCTGGCTCAAGCGTTCGGCGGTCCCTCCGCACCCGGAAGAGGTGCTGCTCTTGCCCCAGGGGGAGGAACAGGCTGCGTGGCCGCGGCCCCACGAGGCACGCCTCTGGCGCTCAAAGGAGGGAGGTCCGGCAGCCTGCCAGCCCGTGCCCTCTGGCCGCGGCGGCGCTTGGCACGCTCGGCTTCCCGCCACAGCCCCCCGCAGTCCTCCTGCCTGGGAAGGAGGGGTCGGGTGCCAGTCCCACCCAGCATGGCCAGCAGCGGGTTGGGAGGCCCCCCAAGAGCCCCCCGCCGTGGCCTGCAGCCTCCCCCTGCGCTGCTGAGGGCGGTGGGGATGGAACGACCCAGTGCGGCCCCTCCTGGGGGTGCTTCCTGAAAGCCGCCCTCCCCGGCCCCCCGCAGCCCTGGGACACCCACAAGGCCCCTGCCAGGCACGCCCACTTGACTCTCGACCTTTATTTCTGGCACTTGACCTTTATTGTCCTTTCGCCGACCTTGCCTTGCAGCCCCCCCCCCCCCCCCGCCCCCAGGCGCCCCCGCCGTGCCCCCGCCTTCCCGGCCCCAGCGGGGGCCCGCGGCAGGGGCCCGCGCCTCCACCGCTTTCCGCCTTTGGCTCCGGACAGATGTGCCCCCCGCCCCGTAAAACGGGGCTCTGGCAGCTCAGCCGCTCCTCGCGAACTGGGCCAGGCAGAGGTTGTAGAAGGAGCCGGCCTCGAAGGAGCCCAGCTCCCGCCAGCACACCCGCCCCATGGCCCGCAGCTCGTCCGCCGTGACGGAGCCCGCCAGCCCGTAGTGGTGTGGGTCTAGGACCAGGAGGAAATGCCCCGTGGGGCCGGAGCAGACCCCCAGCAGCCCCTTGGAGGCGTTGTCCCTGTCTCCCCCCATCATGACGGGGGGGCCCCCTCCCTGGAAGTGGGCGTACAGGGCCTCCAGCGCCTCCCGGAGGTCGCGGCCCCGGGGAACGTGCAGCAGCCGGCCCGGCACGGCATAGAAGTGGTCCAGGCACAGGGCCGCCTCCACCGTGCCGATCCAGTCCCGGGAGCCGGCGAACGAGGGGGGCTTGTCCCCCATCTGCACCAGCGCGCTCTGGATCTGCCTCAGGGAGGGGACGGGCGGGCCGGCGGCCCCTCCTGCGCCGGCCGCCCCCAGCCACGAGCACACGGTCTGCAGCGTGCGGTAGCCGCAGCCCCAGCCCCGGTCGTCCAGGCCGTCACAGCCGTAGTGGTAATAGGCGTAGGGGCCGGAGACGAGCGCCAGGCGCTGAAGAGGCGCTGGGGCGGGGAGGCCCACGTGGACGCTGGAGAGCAGCGGCATTCCGTGCGGACGCGGAGAGGCCGGCCGGGGACGCGAAGGCGAGCTGTGGGGGCAAGCAGAGCGTCGGTTCGGCCCCGTTTCCCCCTTCCGGGTGCCGGCGGGAGACACGGGAATGCTGCCCTTCCTGGAGAGGCAGCAGCCTCGCCCGCATCCCAGCGATTCCCAGCGCGGAGACGGCGGCACACGCACGTGGCAGGGCTGGCCGGGCCTCATGCTGCTCGCCTCCCCGGGCCGGGCCGTCCCAAAGCGCCTGCGGCGTGTGGGGAAAAGAGCCCCCGAGAGGAGTGGCGGGAGCCACGCGGTGCTGCTGTGCCTACTGGCATTTCGTGCCAGCGCTGAGCTCACCCCCCAGTCCAGGACGTGGGGCTTTCGCTGGAGAGCGGCCGGTCCGTGCCCACAGATCAGCCTTCCCCAAGCGGGCGCCCTCCAGAGGGCAGCCGGGCATTGCCGGAACTTGCAGTCCCGCCAGCCGCAGGGCGCCGGGCAGGGAAAGCCAGCCTGGGGACCCCCGGACCCGCCCAGCCCGTGCCCCGCCAACGCCCAAAGCAAGCTCCGCGCTCGTTTCCCGGCCCCGCGAGGCTGCCCGCCTCGCCGCCCACTGTCGTTCGGGCCACGCCGGCACGGCACGTGCCCGGGCGAAAGGCGCCGCTGAAGCGGGCCCGGGCGGGATCCACGTCACGCGGCGCAGGGCAGGATGCGGGGCCGGATGCCTCGACGGCGAGCCCGGGCGCGGCCAGGGATCCGGGCCGCCCGCCGCCCGCGCCTTCACGCACGGTTGGGGCGGCCGCCCGCCCGCCGAGCCCCCGGCCCCGCGAGCGCGCCGCGCGGATCGGGGCGACGATGAGGCTGCTCCGCGGCCGACGTGCTGCGAGATGGGAAGGCCGAGCGGGCGCCCCCGATCGCCCACCCGCGCGGGCGCCCAGGCAGCCCCCGCCCGCGTGGAAGGGGCTCGGCTCGGCGCGTGGCGCCTCGGGGCAGACCCGCCTTCCCCAGCCCGGGGCGGGGGGCGCGGCTATGGGAACCGCGGGCCCGCGCGCGCGGAGGGCGCCGGGTTGGGGAAGGCCGGCGTGGCCCAAGGCGACGAGGCCTGTGTCGGGGGTAGGGGCCGGTCCTCCAACACCACCAAAATCTTGCCTAGACGGCTCGATTCCGGGCGTGGAGCGTCTCGCGCGGAGGCAGCCCAGCCGAGGGGCTCCCCCACCTCGTGGCGAAGCGCTCCCCCCGCCTGGAGCGTCCTCCGTTGCTCCTTCCGGATCAGGCCGGCGGGGGACCTTCCGTCTCTATGATGTAGCCTCTCCTTGGCAATAGAGACGAGGAAGGCATTCGAACGTCGTACGAGCACGTGGTTGCAGAAGTGCCCTGGTAGCCTGGATCCGACGCTACGGCAGCCATCTTAGCTATGGTCAAGGGGGCCTCCGCCATTCTCTCCTTAAGATGGCGGTGTTCAACTTTGTGCCGGACGTGACGTATTCCCCCCCCGATCTGCAAAGACCGGAGCTTTGCGGCTTCTCTTTGAGAGAGGCGACGCGGAGGGACAAGTCTTTCAGATTCACACACGATTGGCCAACGCGACGGAACGCGTGACCAACCGCCTTTGGGCCGCATTGCCCAGGGGCGCAGGTCGGTTCCGTTCTATCCCGGCCATCTCTATGGTGGAGAAACTCAGCGAGATAGGAAAAGTGTAGAGTGACACTCCGCTTGGCAGAAAGCGCCTTGTCTAAAGGGAAAAGCCCAGCATTTCAGGGCTTCTGCCTGCGGGATGGGGGTGGGCGAGGGGGCAACCCCGCAGCGCGCCGGACTACAGCCCCCATCATCCCCACCCAGCACCTTCTGTGGGCGCTCACACAGCAAGAGGAGGGATGGCCTCGGGGCAGAGGTGGCACATGGGTCCCCCAGCGCACCGCACGCAACCTGCAATTGGGAAACAGCGGTGGGCCGGGCGCCCTCGCCAGGCCGGGGCAACGGGGCGCGAGGCGAGTGATGCCACCTCCGCCACCGGGGGCGCGCTCCTGTGGATGCCAGTGCCGGGGAGCATGGGCAGAGCTGCCGGAGCCCCCCCAGGCAGAGGGGATGCTGACGGGACGGGCTCCCCAGCCTTCCAGCCCCAGGGTGCTGCGGGTGCCCCCCCCTCGCGAAGCAGACATGCGCAGACGCCCCGCCGGTTCCTGCAAGTTTCGCTTTATTGCCCGTGTTCGTTAAACAGCAGGAATGCCGCCCGTCGCCCCCCAAGCAGTCGCCCCCGAGGGCAGCCCGCCAGGCACAACCACGGGGTGTGTGGGGTGGGGGGCTTTCAGGTCCCCATCGGAGGCGCAAGGAGGGGAAAGCAGGCGCTGGAAGCAGCGGGCACTTTGGGTGGGGCGAGTGCGATGATTCCTGCCCCCCCCGGGGGCTGAGGACGCATTCAGGGGTAGCCCTCGGGATGTGGGGCGAGCCCCTCCGCAGCTGCCGGCATGTGAGGCGGGCTGGCTTGGCGCCCCGAGGAAGACATCTGTGGGGCCGGGGAGCCGTTTGGCGGCATGAAGGGACGGCTCTGAGACGGGCAAGCGGAGTGGTGGCCGCCCAGTGCCGCCCAGCGTCCCTCCCCTCCAACCCGCCCCCCTCTGTGGGCGGAGGACTACGACCCCCATCTGTCCCAGCAGCATGGAGCACACAGGCTGGGGCGGGTGCTCTGAGCGAGCGGCACATGCGTGAGTAGCACACACAGAGAAGCAGCCAGGGCTGGGGGGCCGCGCAGCCCTCAGTGCCGTCTCCGAGTCAAGGCCGCAGCGGTCAGCCGGGAGCGGAAGAGGCCGGTCGCCTGCGCAGCTCACGTGCCCCCCAAGGCGCTTCGGGGCAGTCGGGCCGCCGGGCAAGCTGTCCCCCAGTGAGGAGGGGGCCCCATCACTGGCCCCGCAGCCCAGCATGTGGGGTGGCAGCCGCCCGCCGGGCAGGCTACAGCGTTGTGGAGAAGCCCGGGTGCGGCAGGGGCCGGAGTGCCCCACGGCCCGGCCCGCAGCCCCCCAGGGAGCCCCACAGCCCTGGCTCTTCTCCCCGACACACTCCGGGGGCGTGGGGCACCCGCACCGGCCACTACCCCCACTGCACAGCCCCACCAGGGCGCTGCCCCCAAGGGCGCCCCGCACGGGCTGGCCGGGCCCCGGCCCGCCCTCCCCCTCAGGCCCCCCGGCCCGGGCGGCCCCTGCCCCGCGCGCTCGGGCCGCTCAGAGCTCGGTGCAGGTGACGGGCGCCAGGCCGTGGATGAGCAGCGTGGGGCCCAGGCCGGCGGTGAGGGCGTCCAGCTGCGCCAGGTAGCGCTCGTGCTGGGAGGTGTCCGCGGGGGGGCGGGGGAGGTAGAGGAAGCGCACGGCCACCTGGCCGCCCTGCTGCTGCAGCAGCCCGTTGGCAGAGGCCAGGTACTCGTCCGTCACCCGGCAGGTGGCGGCGTTGAGGAAGTCCTCCCCGGGCGGTCTCTCGGCGGCGCCGCCGGGCGTCCCCGGGGCGGGCCGGGGCGGGAGGTCCGCGCGCTGCCGGCCCGGCGGGGCGGCCACGTGGTCCCAGGGGACGATCTTGATGGTGGCCCGGATGCGCAGCTTGGTGAGCAGCTCCCGCAGCTTCTCCTCCTTGCCCACCCAGCCCACGTCCCCCGGCTCCACGCAGAGGAAGATGCGCAGCCGGGCGGCGCGCCAGGAGCTGGCCATGGTCAGGATGCAGGCCATCTGGAGCAGGAAGAGGCTGCAGATGTCCACGTAGGCGGGGGCGCCGGGGTGCAGCAGGTTGAGCGGCCAGACGTCGATGTAGCGCCCCTCCCAGCGCCGCTTGCCCGCGGCCGAGGCAGGCGGTGGCGGCAGCCGGTCGCCGTCCAGCAGGTGGAAGTGGCGGGCCAGGCAGACGTTCTTGTGCATCTTCACCGCGTCGGAGATGATGGCCACGTACTCGGCCGGGCTCAGGGCCCGCGGGCCGGCCGCCTCCCGCACGGGCGGGAAGTGGGCCTGCAGCGCCGGCAGGTCCACCCCGAACTCGTCGTTCTCCTGCGCCTGGCTGAAGGCCGGATCCTGCAGGAAGTAGTCCTCCGGCACGCAGTCGTCGTAGAAGCCGAGCACCAGCGTGTTGGGCTTCATCCCTCCTGCGGGGCAGCGCAGGAGGTTGGCGCCGGCCGGGACGCACGCGGCCCCCCCCCCCCCCGGCCCTGGAGGGGGGGGGGGGGGGACCCCCCCGAGGGCCCCCCCACCCCCCCCCCCCCCCCCGAAGGGCTCATTGGGAGCTGCCCTCTGCTTCGGAGGCTGGGCTGTGGGGCTGCCCTCCGGAGGGCCGGGCAGGAAACCCCGGGACACGGCCGATCGGTGCCACGTGCCCGGGGCCGGCTCCTGCTCGCCTCCCTGGGGCGTGTGGGCGTGCTGGGGACCCCCGCGCCCCTCACCGAGGCCAGTGATCCGCAGGAGGTGCTGCGTCCCCTGCCGGACGGAGGGGGACAGGGTCAGGTCCACAAAGGCCTTGACGTCCAGCTTGTCTACCAGGCTCAGCCAGAAGTTGTAGTGGGCCTGGATCGGGTCCGCGGGCATCGTGTCTGGCGGGAGAGAGGCGGCTGAGCGAGGCGACGGCCCCCACGGCTCCCGGCAGGGCGCCTCATGGGGCGGCCCGGAGCCCGCCAGAGCCACGGGGGCAGGGGCCCAGGGACCCCCGGGGTGGGGGGGCACCCCCGCGCTGAGCCTGGCAAGCGCTGGACTGCCGGCTGGAAGGAGGCGCTGGGATGGCGAGGCCGCCGTGCGGGAAGGGCTGGCTCCCTCCAGGGGCTGGGGGGGATCCAGCCAGGTCGGGCTGGAGGGTCAGCCGGCCCTGGAGGGGAGGCTGGTGCGAGAAACTCGCCCCCCCCGAGCTACCAAGCCTCGCAGGTGCTCCTTGCAGCAGGCGCTCCCGACCGTGGCCCCCTCCCCAGCTGAGGGACGGGCAGCCCCCCGCCGTGCCGTGAGGCCGGGCCCGTCCCCAGCCAGGCGTGGCCCCATCCCCGATCCCGCCTGGCCCAGGACCCCCCAGGCTCGGAGGGGCACCGGTGAGGCCCTGCGCCCCCATGGCCTCACGCACCCCCTTACCGAGGTCGCCAATCTCCACGTGGCCCAGCACAAAGAGCCCCCCCTTCTTCAGGTGGTTGATGAACTTCACCAGCCGGGAGCCCCCCCGGGGGTTGGCCACCATGAGCAGGATCTGCGGCCTCCAGAACTTGACGTGGTCCTTCCGGATGTCGAGGAGAAGCAAATACTTCCGGACCTGCGGGGCGGGGCAGGGGGGGGAGCCGGCCACGGGGGCAGGTGAGTGGGTCTCGGGCGCTGCTGGGGCCCCCGCTCCCCCCGCACGGCTCAAGGGGGCACGGGGCCGTACCTGGTGGAAGATGAGGGCCTGGCTGATGTAGCCCCAGGAGGAGGCGGCCGAGCGCAGGTGGATGAAGGCCAGGAGCAGGACCAGCAGGCCCAGGCTGCCCGAGGCGCCGGCCGGGCTGACGAGGAACATCATGGCCAGGCAGGAGGCGATCCCCAGCAGGCACGTGTGCCACGAGAACACCTGGAAGGTGGGGCTGGGGGGGCAGGCAGCTCAGCGCTCCGCTCTCGCCCCCCCCGCACACCGCCCCGGAGGCGCCCGCCCTGCCGCGAGCCACGCCGGCCCTCCTGCGCACGCGCCCCCCCAGACGGGCCCCGGCACCCCTGCCGGAGCACCACCCACCGGAAGTTCGGGGCCGAGGCCCACTCCAGCGCCAGGCAGGCCAGGTCCACCGCCGCGTAGGCCACCAGGTAGAAGACGGTCACGATGCTGGCAATGGTGTTGAGCTTCCCGACCAGGAGGACCAGCTGCGAGGGGGCGCCCCCGAGGGTCAGGGGGGCTCCCAGGGGAGGGCTCGAAAGGCCCCCACCCGGGCCGTGCCCGGCAGCCCCGTTGCCCTAAGGCCCCGCCGGACCCCTCGTGGGCTTCCCCCTCCGTGGCCAGCGCAAAGCGGGGACTGGAGTCCCCCGCACCCCCAGCGTGGGGCCAAACCGCAGAGGAAAGGCGTGCTTTGCTGAGCCACGTCTCCAGCAGCTGGGGGCAGGCCCCATGCCAGAGGCGTGCGCCAGCCACCGCGGGCAGTGGGGATCCAGCGGGGCCACGGCCTGAGCCAGCCCACTGGCGCGTGCCCCTCGCCTCCCCCGGACCCCTGTGCCCTGTCCCCGCTGGGGAAGGCCAGGGCTGCGAGCACGCCGGGGCCGCTCGGTCCGGACGCCGCCTGCCTCTCCGGGTCTTCACCCCCCTCGAAGGAGAGGCTCCCTCGGGCAAGCAGAACTGCAGTCCGTGGACAAGCCGGGCTCTCCAGGGCTCCCCCCCCGCCCCCCCCCCCCCCGGCTGCTCCACACGTCCCCCCCGCTCGCCCCCTCCCCCGGCTGCAAGGCTCAGCGGCTTCTGCCACAGCGGAGCGACTGCCGGAGACGTAAACCGCGGAGAGCTTCGCTGCGGCGCCCCCCCGGCCCCCCGGTGGGGCCCCTCGGAGCGCCTACCTGCACGAGGGCCCAGGTGTACAGGACGGCCACCCAGGGGTTGCCGCCCTTGGAGACGATCTTGGCTGGGGCGAGGACGACGCCTGCGGGAGGGAGACAAGCTTGCTGCAGGCGCCCAGCGGTGGGGCAGGGGAGGCCTGCCGGGGAGGCTTCCCCGGCGGGCCGGAGGAGCGGTGCCTCACCGAAGAGGTCGTCCTTCGCCAGCGCGTGGAGGATCCGCGAGGCTCCGATGAGGTTGCTCATGGAGGCAGACAGGGAGGCGGCGTAGATGCCGATCAGCACGAAGGGCGGCCAGATGTTGATGGCTCGGAAGAAGCCGTAGTCGCCCTGCAGCAGCGCCCTGCGGGGCGACCGAGGGAGGGGTGGGCGCCCTTTCCGAGGCCCACAAGTCTGCCCGCCCCCCAGAAGCGGTGCCCTGGCGCTGCCTGCCCCATCTCGCTGCTCTGCGGGGAAGGCTGAAGGCCAGGCCAGCGCCCACCAGGAAGGCCTTGGCTCCAGAGGCGGCCGGGCAAAGGGGAGCTGCTCCGACACGGCACCTGCTGACCGCCGCGTGCGCCTCCCCCACACTCACCTCTCGCAGGTGAAGCTGGTCATGAAGAAGAGGAAGAAGTAGATCACGAAGGTGTAGCCCACGGCCACGAGGGTCCCCTTCGGGATGGAGCTGCTGGCGTTTTTCAGCTCCCCTTCAAAGAGAGGCCAGAGCTGCGCTGAAACGCCGCCCCTGCAGCTCCCCTCTCCCCGCCTCTCCCCCAAGGCGCACAGCATCGCGGGGGCGCTTCCCACGCGGAAGTGCCCCACACGCCCACCAGCTGCCCCTCCCTCCGGGCTCCCCGCCCCACGAGCCTCACCGGACATGTTGGACCCTGCCATGATGCCTGTGCAGCCGTTGAACATGACTGCGAAGACGGTGGCGAAGGACATCATGTTGTTGGTGGTGTAGTCGCGCGAGTACATGGCTGCAAGTGGGGGAGAGCACAAGCAGGACGTGCCTTGCTGGGCCGCTCTGCCCCGGACACGCCAGCAAGGCACGCCACCCCGGAGCCTGGCCCTGCCGGCCCGAGTCCACCCGCCCTGGCCCGGCACCTCCTCTTCCGCCTGCAGCACCGCACACGGCTGGCTCCCCGTCTCAGAAGAAGCCGGGGCGGCACACCTTCGGTCAGTGGGAAACCTTTGGGTTTGCCCCTGGCTCCCTCGGGCTTCCCTAGCCACAAACCAGCATGCTCCACGGCCACGGAAGGGCTGGAAGTCCAGCGCAGGCCATGGTGGGGTGGCACACGGCCCGTTTGGTGGCTGCAGGCGCTCCCTCCTTAATGCCGGGGCGGGTTTCAACACAGGCCAGGACCGTTCTGTTTTAAAAGACTTCGCTGCAAAAGCAGGTCTTCTCCCGCATTTTAACGTTTCTCGTGTGCTGCTTTGGGAGCCTTTGCTAAAAAAAGCCCATGTGCCTCCGCAATTCACACGTGGATGCCTCGGTCGGGGCGGAAATGGCAGCCGAGGGCCCACCCAAAGGCTGGACGGGGAGCACGCGGGGCCCGAGGCGCGCCTGCCCCACTCCCCGCGGCAGCCCACCCGCCCGGCCCGGCCCGGCCCTGGGAGGCGCGCACGGCCCTCCCTACCATACAGGTTGTCCTTGAGGGTGGAGACATTGAACCCCGTGAAGGACGCGTTGAAGCTGTGGTTGCCGTCCCGGGAGACCGTGATCTCCCGGGGCGACACGGCGAAGAAGCTGGCGAAGACGGTGACCAGGACCACGTTGACCACCAGGAAGATGAAGAAGGCGGCTCTGCTGTAGATCTGGGCGCCCACCAGGCAGACCAGGAGGCAGAGCAGCAGGACGAGGGAGCCGTACAGGAAGCTGTAGAGGTAGCCCTGCGGCAGGGCCTTGGCGCCCGGCGGGGAGGACCCATCTGGGGAAAGGGGAGAAGGGCGCGCAGGCGGCGGCTCAGGGGGGCGGCCTCCCTCCTCGCTCCGGGCCCAGGGCGCGGAGCCTTGGCCCGTGGCCTCCCCGGCCCCAGGCGCCCCCCAACCAAGCGGGGCTTTCCGGAATTTGCGCAGCTTTTCCTCCAGGCCCCCAGGGGGCCACTCACTGGCAGGAGCTGCTTTGAGCTGTCAGTAGCTTGGCCCGACTGTTGCAGGACTCCGGCCCCAAACGCTTCTCTGAGGTGGGATGCGGCCCGTGAGCTGGCAGGGGCTCTGTGCCCCCCAGCGCCAGGCGCACACCCCACCCGCCAGGCGCCCCAGCACCCACCTGCTCCAAAGACGTCCAGGATGGCTTCCACCAGCCCGAGCACATAAACGCCACAGGCGCAGACGTTGGCCAAGAAGAACATGAGCCCGATGCTCCCGCCAAATTCAGGGCCCAGCGTCCGGCTGATCATGACTGAAGGGGCGGGTGGAGGGCTCTGTTAAGGCAAGGTCTGGACGGCACGTGCCCCCCCAGTGCACCCAGGACGGCATCCTGCGTGAGTCCTCCTCCGGGGAGCCGGTGCCACGAACCAGAAGCTGGGCCACTGCCCGTGGGATCCGCCATGGGCACCGGGTGGCTGGCGTGGGGCTGGGCTCCCGGAACGGAGGCCCACGAGGCACGAACGCAGAACGCGCCCGAAGCCATGCGGCTGAGCGAGCGTGCGCCCGGCGGGTCACTCTGTGGATGGGCTTCCGCGGACCCCGTCCCCCCAGGACAGGCCGCTCCGTAAGGAGAACCGGGGCGTGTGACCACGGAAAAGGCCTCGAGGAGAAAGCTTGGGGGGGGGACACACGGGCCCAAAGGTCCCCCATCTAGGGGGACCCCCCCGACCCACCGGGCCCCGTCCCGTCCCTTCCCTTCCTCAAGTGCCCATGGACAGCAGGAGGGGGGCAGAGGGCTGCCCAGAGCTCCAGGCCGCAGCCCTTGAGCCCCCCCACCGCACCGCCTCCGCCCGGACAGCCAACCGAGGGGGCTTGGGCAGATCCCCCGCCCCGACCTCCGTCTCCAGCCAGGGCCACCCAGACCCCTGGCACCCCACACTGCCCAGTGGCACCCGCGCAGGGCCCCTCCGCCCACCCACGCGGCCTCGGGGCCGCCCCCGCCCCGATTCCCCGCCCGCGCCCCCGAGAGGATACAGTAGGCCCCGCCGGCCTGCACGGCCCCGTTGGTGGAGATGGCGCACACGGAGAGCACCGTCAGCGAGATGATGACGTAGGCGACCACCAGCATGAGCAGCGACTGCAGGAAGCCGGCGTGGCCGACCACGAACCCTGTGGAGGAGGCGGCCCGGGGGCAAGCTGGGGGGATGCCGGTGGGGCCCGGGGGGCTTCAGGCCCCCACGCTTCGGCCCCCGAGCCCCCAACTCCGGCGCCCCCTTTGCCACAGCTTTGCCCTGCCCGGTGGCCCCAGAGGTAGAGGACTGCAAATCCCATGATGGGCCAGCTGGGGATTGTGGGAGTCGCGGTGGCACATTTCTGGAGGGCCCCGGCTGGGCGAGGCTTTTTCGCGTAAGCCAGCTGTGCGAGAGACCCGAGCGCCCCCAGCCCTGAAATGCGGGCGCCAGGAGCCCCCCACCCCCAGGACCGCAGGTCCCTGGCAAGAGGGGGCCACCTGGGCTTGTGGGCCCAGCGCTGCAAAGTTCGCGCTGCCGAATTCTCTGAGGGGCTTTCCTGCCACGGAGGGCGCTTTGCCAAAGCCGGCAAGGTTGGGGTCTGGCCAGCGAGCAGAGGGCAGGGCCTTGGGGCCAGGGGAGGGAGGGAGGGGCGGGCAGCGCGACCCCCCCCCCCCGGACACTCCGGGGCTTCAAGGAGTGCTTCTGAGCCGCACTCCCCGCCTCTGGGACCCCAGTGGGGTTAGGGTCAGGGTGCAGGGACACCCCCAGCCTGCGGCCAACAGGGGGGCTCTCCGGCTCCCAAGCCCACCACTCACCGACACGCATGAAGACGACGATGCTGAACATAGACAGAACCGTGGGCACAATGACCCCGAAGAAGGTGGAGAGCCGCCGGGCCGGGTCGGGGTGGGGGCCCCCAGCCCCCACCACCCCCACCACCAGGGGGGCCTCTTCCTGGGTGGCCCCTGGCATCTCTCCCTCCCCTGACACCCGGAAGAGCCGGTAACTGAGCAGAGGAGAGCTCTCCGTAGACATGGCCGGGAAGCAGCGAGTCCCCGAGTTACCTAGGGCGAGAACGGGACGCGGTTTTGGGGTGCGGGAGACGCCGGGCGGCCACAAGGGGCCAGACCCTCAGCCCGAAGGCCCCGAGCCACGCAAAGCCCTCCGGGAGGCTGCGCCCGCTCCCCCCCACGGCCCTCCTCCCCCCGCGTGAGCCTCCCCACGGCCTCTGGGGGGGCCAGGCGAGCACCCACGGATGACCCCTGGGAGTCCCCATCGGATGCCCAACCACTACGCCGCGCTGCCTATCGCCTCGCGGGTCCGCTGTCAGCAGGCGGCATGCGAGGAAGGGGCCGGGCGGCTCTACGCGGGGGGCGGCGCTGCCTCGCGGCCGCGGGGGCGAGCGGGACCGGAGCTCCGGGTCGCGGGGGCAGCGGCCGCCGGAGAGCGCGGCCTCGGCGCGGGGG